GCGCAACCGGATTACTGGCTTTATTATTACTTGTTGCAGATTATTAATTACCGAGAATTACGAGCGAAGCGCGGGAATAGGCTGGTGATGGCGGGGACGGACGGTGTCGTGGATGGAGAGCGGCGGACGGATGCTGGAAAGAAAGGCACCCCTCTCAGATTTGTGTTTTCAATTAATTTCCGTAAATTAAGAACGATTGTAAGAAGAGATTAGTGACCGCTGGCCGCGTACTTCGAGGGTCGTGAGGATTTCATAAATGGAGAAGGCCGCTCCGGTTTCTCCGGAGTGGCATCGAGTAATTAAACAACTCGATAAACTAACGCAGCCGGTAACTGTTAGACCGACAAATAAATGAACAAACGAACAAATGAACGATGGGCAGTGTCGTGACCGTAACATTAAGCGGCTCCGGCTATGAGCTCCGAAATGGCCAATAACGACCCAACATCCAGATACGTTACGATGCACTCGAGTTTTCCAATCGAGGCGAAACGGTTCCCGTTTTTTTTTTTTATCAATAAAAAGTCAGTGCGCCGGCCGTGTTTCGTTGCTGTATATTATAAAGTTCAAGGCTTATCCGCCTCGCGGTTTTCATCGATTGAAGTTGCCTGAATTATTCTCACGATACTGACGCACGGAAGCGGCGAAAACGTGTGCGGACTTCGTTTTCGGTTATGGGATTAATCGACAAGCAGATTTAATGGAGAGACACGCACGCACGCACGCATGCACTCACGCACGTCGTGGGTGAAGTCTACGAACGTGTGTACATACGGAGCGGCGGCCAACACAACATGCGCGTATATCTCGATGAAAAGTAATGCTAACAATGGGGTCATGCGAGCCTTTATAATATCACGCTGGCGGCCCAATTCCCCGTGCAGGATACGTAACGGGGAAAAAAAAGGCCGAGAGGCCTGCCAGCTGCTGTAAACGATACAATTACCAGATAGATACGTGTTCGTATACAGAGAGAAAAGGAAAGAGAAAGAGAGAGAGAGAGAGAGAGAGAGAGAGAGAGAGAGAGAGAGAAGGAGGAGGAGAGAGAG